TAAAGTTTGCTCCCAAGGCTTATGTGTTGGAGGCTTGGTCTTCAGTGTGGTGGAGTTGAGGTACCAGAACCTTTAAGGGGTAGAGCCTGGTGGGAAGAAATTAGGTTACAGAGTCCCACCTTCTCTGGGTTAAGTTCCTGGGGACTGAATCAATTCTGTGTCGTTATAACTAAAGCAAGACCACCCCATACCCATGGCCTTTTCTGCATGCAACCGTTTCCCTCTTTGAGAAGCCATGCAGATAGAACCACCCCATATTGGACTTTCAGTGTCTAAGACCGTGCAATAAATAAACCCGTTGCCTTTATAAAGTATCCTGAATCAAGTATTTTGTTAAAGGCTTTCTACCACAGGGAAAAAAAACTACAAATGCCTCTTCTAGGATGGCCACTAGCGGGTATGTGCCTCACTCCCAAATAAAGAAGAGGAAGTCATTAAATCTCAGGAGTTAATCAGAAAGATCTATTTAACTTTTCTTTTATGTGTATGGTGAGTGCTTGCATATATTATGTGTAGCACATGATATGTGTACACATTATGTGTACCCATGGTGTACCACAGACCAGAAGAGGATCCTCTAGAACTGGAGTTATAAGTGGTTAGGAACCACCGCATGTGGGAGCTGGTCCTCTGAAAGAGCAGGAAGTGTTCTTAACTGCTGAACCAGGTCCCCGGCCCCATTTGTTTATATCTACAAATACCAAGCCCAAGGACATGTAATGAGGCTTCAGCGAAGGCAAATGAGCTCCAAGGTTTACATAGAGGAAAAACATTCAGCGAGCTAAGGACGTACTTCATGAACCATGAGCTGGTCTGTGGAGATAATCTAGAGGGCCATCCAGAGTTTAAGTGGTGAGATGTATCAGTGCGGGGAAGGACCCGGTGGAATGGCACAGATGTGGGTTGGCACCATCAGGACCAGTCTGTAACAGCATCATCCGAAAAACCAAATACAGGGGCAAAAGGAAGGGCCCTGGAGGCAGCAACACACCTCTTACATCCTTGGACTTGAAAGCAGATGGGGATCCCACAGCTGCCTTACAGGAAGTCTCTTACGTCTGCAGAGCAGGATGCTGGAGAGTCTTCAGGACCAGCAGAGCCAAGATATTTGCAGGTGTCTAGTCTGGGCAGGACACCTGGGTCCTGCTGTGAACATCCATCCTGCTCCATGGTGAAAGGGCACAATGATGGGACTGCCTGCCAGCCAAGTCAGCAGGGCTTCATGGCAAAGTCTTTCACAAGAGAGTCCCATCCAAAGCTTTCCAGGAAGCTAAATGGCTGTAGAGGGGTCACCCGGGAATGAGGAAATGATGGCCAGACAAGAGGCCCTTAGTTCTACAGACAAAAATGATGGCTTTCTAGCTGAAGGAGACCCTGGGGCTACAGACTAGTCACTGACCATAAAGACTGAGCGCTCTTAGGTTTGGAGACACAAACTTTACGTCACCAGATGGGTCAGAATCAGGAAGAGGGTCCAGAACTGATTCCAGCTCCTGGGCTGTAGATCTCCTAATGAAAAGCCCCATCCGCCTAAGGCAGGATAGAGATGAGTTTGGGTGACATGAAGCGCTCGAGAGTGTCAGAGGCTAGGGGGGTGAGAGGATGCTGAGCACAGAGAAACTGAACGTGGTTGTGCTGGCTAGTCAACTCGACAAAAGCCAGAGTCATCAGAGAGGAGGGAGCCTCAGTTGAGAAAACGCCTCTGTAAGATCTGGCTCTAAGGCCTTTTCTTAATTAGTGTCTGCTGGGGGAGGGCCCAGTCCACTGCGAGTGGGGCCAGGCCACCCCTGGGCTGGCGGTCCTGGGTTCTACAAGAAAGCAGGCTGGGCAAGCCAGTAAGCAGCACCCTAATACAATTACATCGCTATCAATCCACGGAATCAGCTTAATGAGCAAAGGAATTTATTTGGGGGTTAACTCACAAGACAGAAATAAGGGACTGTAGCAGGATTCTGGAAGGGTGAGGCCAGGTCCAAGCTGTTCTCTGGCGAGCTCTGCCCTGGTCCACCTCAGCATCCAAAATCCACAAGGTAGAGAGAGCGCATATGTGCATCCCAGGTCTTAAGGGTCCCTGGGGGCCATGCCCGAGGGGCAGGTACCTAGCAGCTACCTGCTGCCTCACTAGGGGACGGTGCTTCAGGGCACGGCACAAACAGCCACCTACTACAGCACCCCCCCACCCCATGGCCTCTGCATCAGCTCCTGCCTCTAGGTTCCTGTCCTGCTTGGGTTCCTGCCCTCACCGCTTTTGATGATGAACTGTGATATGGAAACGTAAGCAAAATAAACCCTTTCCTTCCCAACTTGCTCTTGGTCATAGTGTTTCATCACAGCAATAGTAACCCTAAACTAAGACAGCGGTTCTCAGGATGCCACTGGAAAGGAACTGGGGGTGTCGCTGCGGAAGGAAGACGATGCAGGGGCAGGCCAACCCCTTTCCCCAAAGATGGAGTAAGAATAGACGGGAAGAGAGAGAGGCTTGGAGGTGCAGGGCAAAAAGCACAGGAGTTCGGGGCAGATGGCCTCCATCTTCTCTGCAGGTGAACAGCTGCTAGACATAAGTGGTGAGGATATGACTAGAGTTCTGTGGCAGGAACCAGAAAAGGAACCAAGGGGCACCGAGGCATCGGTGAGAAGCTCACCCTCCTGGGGCACAGCTTGGAGGCTTGGACTTGGCTGAACCTGTCATCTCTGCTGCAGACAAAAGACACAGGCGCTCATCTCCAGCAGTGCTTGGCAGCCTGGGAAGAGTCCCAGAGAAAACAGATGGGCCTGGTTGCCACGGGGAGGCCAGGGAACACCCACAGGGGCAGGAGGACCAAACACTGAGTGGAGACCGAAGCCTGCTTCCTCCAGGGCAGGGAAGAAGACAAGAAAAAGAGGAGACTGGGGGATGGGAGATGGTCAGAAGGACAGGAACAAGGGAAGCTGTGAGGTTTGCTGAAATGAGGTTTAAAGGAGAGGGAAACAGTATCTAGAATATGGTCAGAGCCAGCAACTGAGTCCTGAGCTCATGCAGGTGAAGAAAAAAAAAAAAAATAGACAGGCCTCGGTGGATGTGAAGGCCAGCCATGAGGGCAGAGGGCAGACCTCAATTTAAGGAAGTAGACTGGGCTAGGGAGGCAGAAAGGGAGAAGGTGGGATGCCTCCCTGGAACTTGGGGGTTAAGGGAATCTCCAGTTGAGAAACCAAGAAGGAATCAGACAGTCAAGGAGGCAACAGTTATTGCAAGGTAAGGACTCTACTGAGAGCTGACGGAAGTCCTAAGGTGCAAAGGGAAGTGGTGGTGGTGTGCACAGACACCCAAGAGATGGCCCCTCAGGAGGATGGAGCCAGGAGCACCAACAGCCAGATTCCATCTCCTCAGAGCTCAGCATCCCCCGAGCGTCTCCAGCAAACCCATTTACCAGGCACCAGTTTTGAGCAGCTACAGCTTATAGCTATCCCCAGGAAACATCTGCTAAGTGTCTGCCACGTACAAAGAGCTTCAGCTCTCCAGCTCAAACCTGTTCCCAGAAAAACCAGCTTCCACGACACTGTCTCACCTAGCAGCCGAGTCCTCCTGCCCCACACTTCTTCTAGTTTTAGTCCGTGTGTGGTAGGTATGTGTCCGTGCACATGTACACCTGTGCATGCAGCACACACGTGGCGGGTAGAAGCTGATGCGTTTATTCCTCGGTCATTCTTCACCTTATTGTTGGAGACGGGTTTTATCACTGGGCCTGGAGCTCACAGATTAACTAGGCGAGATGACTAGCAAGCTCCAGGGTGCAACTCTCTCCACCTCCCCCGGGATGTAGCATTGCTGGGTTACAGACATGCGCTGTCACACTGCTCAACATGGGTGAGGAGATCCAAACTAGGTCCTCACATTTGCACTGCTGACCTCCCTCCCTGGATCCTTAATTAGTCTTAACTCTCCACCCCCTGCCATGTTCGCTACATCAACTGTATTCACCACCTTCGTTCAATGCTTAGAATAGAGCTCGGTGTATAGTAGTCCCTTAGCAAACACGTCTAGAGTGCCGAATACATTATCTTTGAAACCCAGAGGTGTATCTTGTTGGGAAGAAGCACTACAAAGTCATTCCTGCTCTTAGAAAGAGAAGTGCGCCGGGCGGTGGTGGCGCACGCCTTTAATCCCAGCACTCGGGAGGCAGAGCCAGGTGGATCTCTGTGAGTTCGAGGCCAGCCTGGGCTACCAAGTGAGTTCCAGGAGAGGCGCAAAGCTACACAGAGAAACCCTGTCTCGAAAAACCAAAAAAAAAAAAAAAAAAAAAAAAAAAAAGAAAGAGAAGTGTGAGGGCTGGACAGATGGTTCAGTGGTCAGGAGCACTAGCTGCTCTTTCAGAGGACCTGGGTTCCAGTCCCAGGGGATCCAATGCCCTTTCTGGCCCTGGGCACTGTATGCACCTAGTACATAGCCAAAACATCCATACCACATAAAATAAATAGTTTTTAAATAAACAATTAATTTAAAAAGAAAGAACTGCACTGAGCTTTGTGGAGGTCATTCAGTCTAGCATCTGTCTCCAGAGAGTGAGGTGAGTCTGTTCTGACTTCCCAATACCTCCTCCCAGAGTGAAGGCCTGCTCTGATCATCCCCTCCAGCCCTCCTCCCGTTCACAGCACCTGCCATCTTCCCTCCCAGGTTCGGCAAGAAGGTGATGGATCCTCGAGACCCACCACTGAAAAGATGTCAAAGTGATTTCTTCTTTCACCCCTACGTTAGCCATGTGCCTATCATGTGCCCGTGTTCAGCCGTGTTTCCAGAAGGCATTCTGTGCAGAGCCTCCTGGTCAGTGGCTACCTCAAGGGTGGGAGGAGCTGACGAGCATCCTGCATGTATTTCATTCAGGCACCAGCACCGCCTGCCAAGCTCATCACTGGCACAATATCTCAATTTCACTCTTTTCTCTATCAGTGTGTAGTGAGGGCTGTGGCACTGCAATTAGCGCGAAGAACCAATCGTTCTTGAAATGAATCACAGCGAGACATACCGTGACCTGGGCGGAGTCGAGGAACTGCAGACCAAAATAATCTGTTTCCACCAGGTCCAAGTGGTACACAATCTGGTCAAACAAATCCTGGCCTTTGGCATGTTTCTGGAAGACAAACGGGGACGTGGAAATTAAAGGTACGATAGATGGATAAGAAACAAAAATATTTTTAAAAGTCCTTTTCTCTCCATCAATTGCATACATGCATACAAATTTGTTTTAAGTGAAGTAAGAATGTGTAATTAAAGATACTCTCAAATACCATGCAATCCTATCAGGTTAAAGACCCAGCTGAACACTGTCCACCCTCTCCCTTCTCTCCTTACAAGAAGGAGGCCTTCCGGATGAAGAACTTGATGTGATAGCAAGCTTTGCCCAGACCAGGCACCCTGCAAAGAGGTGTGGTGGGCTCTGCTCCAGCACAGCCACCCCTGGGCTGGATGTGAAGGCAGGCCACCTTAGCAACTCTGCTAGTCTTGTCAAACGGTCTGGTCAGCCTTCTGGTTTTACAGGGCAATCCACCAAAGCCCAGGAAAGACAGAAGATCTGCCACAGTGCACAGCCATCCAGCCAGGACTCAAACCCAAACCCCGGGTCCACTCCCTCCAGGGCTCTGTGTGGTTCACGGATGGAGCATGAACACAAGAGGAGTCAGAGGCAGCAGCCACACCCGCTACTTAGAAGCAGGCATGACCTTGGGAAGCTGCAACTTGCTTCTCTGTCTGCCTTGCAAAACAGGCTGGCAGCAGATGCTTTCCCCGCCTCTTCAGAAAGACGGAGGGGCTCTCCACCTGAAAGCTACTGAAGAAGACTCAGACCTCTGACTAACTAACGAGGAGGCTTATTAGTACTCATCGGAGCAGAATGCAGGCGTGTGTCTCTGATAAAATCTACACCACAGCAAATACATTTATACTAGGTGTCAAAGAAAACAAACAGCAACTCCATACAGTGATTGGAGAACTCACTCCTTGTTACCAACACTGGCAGTCAATGGGGAAGCGACTGGTGTCACCTGACCCTTCCCTGTGAGGAAGAGTAGGTAGTAGTGAACACACAAATTAACTCAAGACGGACTAGGCCTCAGGGGAAGAGGAAGAACTATGAAACTTCCGATGATATGTAGGCACTTCGTGAGCGTGGGGTTGGCGGCAGTTGATGAGAGATGGCATTAACAGTATGAACCAAGTGACCAGAGAACAATGAACTGTATATTCATGTATGAAGCGTCGGTGCTTCAAAGGCACTGAGATGTCAAAAATGTGCAAAGGCAATCCAGAACATGGGGGAAGTTTGTAAGTCACATACAGTCGTCACTCCAGCCTGTGGGGAAACGTTCCAGCACCACTCAAGAAGACCGAAATGCACAGATGCTCAAATCCCTCATACACATGGCAAATAAGTTATGCACATCCTCTCATGTGACTTAAATCTTCTAGAAGACTCATGACACCTGAGACACTACAGATGTTATGTGAAGAGCTGTTCTTGCTTCACTGTGCTGTCTAGGGAATGACCTAATGTATAGAATGTATAGAAGCGTCTATACATGTTCAGTACTGACACAATTTTTTTTTCAGTAGTTTTGCTCCAGTCAGTTGATGTAAAGGGCCAACCATGCCTGATAGAGACTTTTATCCGGAATAAATAAAAGAACTATTACAATTCAATAATGGAAAGACAAGTATCCAATTAAGAACCAGCAGAAGGGCGCATACGGTGCTCTGAAGACATGCAAGGGTTCAGTAAACACCTGGGAAGGTGAGCAGCAGGAGCAGCCACAGAGCCCAGGAAACCACAGCAACAACCAGACCCGCTCCATGCCCACTCAGATTGGTCGGGAGGAAAAAGACCTAACAACAAGTGGTGGGTCCACTGGACCCCTCACATACTGCTGATGGAGTAACGATTGCAACCGCACTGGAATTCTAACCTCGAGGTCTAGATCCAAGAAAAATAAAAATGCATGCTCATGAAAACGTTGTACAGGGCTGTTCGCAACTTTATTCATTATACCGAAAAGGCAGAAACAACGGAAATGGCCATCAACTGACGATCAAAATACAGGATATTCATTTGATGGACTATTACTTCACCAAGAAAAGGACTGGAGTACTGATGTATGCTACCATAGGGTTGGACTCAGAAAACCCTCCGCTTCAGTCCCAGGAGATCACAAAGCACCAAACATGTATGGCCTTATCCTAAGAAATGTCAGAGTGGACAAACCACAGAGACAGAAACTAGACCAGGGGTTGGTTGCTTAGGACTGAGGGAGCTGAGAGTCGATAGCTAGGCTGGTATTTTACCAATGAAATGTCCTACAACTGACTGTGTCGACAGATGCAGAATTCTGCATCTATTGAAAGTCTCCGGACTGGACAATTAGAAGGTGATGTACAGCATGTGAACCCCAGCAAAGCTATTACACATACTAAATGTGTGTTTTCTTTATTAAAGAATACCAACATGTAAAATAATTAGGAACGGGAAAGTTGCAACATCAACATCTCACAGCCTGAATAACAGCAGAATGGCAACTCCCATCCCATCAGGTAACCAGTCACTGTGTCCCTGTGACAGAACATCCCACCTCCTGAGTCAACAAATTGCTTCACAGTCTCTCCACAAGATCCAGCCTAGAAAAAAAAAAAACCTCTAGAAACCTCATAATGCAAACTATCCCATTTCTAGTATAGGAAGGAGAAGAGACAAGGTGTGGAGAGGCAGCCCGAGGTTCAAAGATCTAAAAGACGGTCTTCCAAATGGCAAGGTCAAACCACAATGCCCAGGACAGACACATGGACACACACTGTCTAGGATACACACTTGGCTGAGGAAACTTGCAGTGAATAAGGAAGCGACCACAATAAAGTCAGGGTAGCTGTTGCTCGAGAAGGGAAGGGCATGCAAGGGTCAGGGGTGGGGGGTCGGGAGGACATGTCTGACCAGCAAGCAGCATTCTTTTTTTTTTTTTTTTTTTGGTTTTTTTGAGACAGGGTTTCTCTGTGTAGCTTTGCGCCTTTCCTGGAACTCACTTGGTAGCCCAGGCTGGCCTCGAACTCACAGCAATCCGCCTGGCTCTGCCTCCCGAGTGCTGGGATTAAAGGCGTGCGCCACCACCGCCCGGCATGCAAGCAGCATTCTATCTCAGGAGACAGGGTGTTTGCGTTCTGATAACTCATCAAACTATACCCCAGTTTTATCTGCACATCTCCATCTACAGGGCATATCCAAAGTAAAAACTCAGGGGCGGAGATAAAGCTTCATTGTCGGGGGAAAGAACACTACCATACGGTCCTGGGTTCCAATCCTCAGCATCTACCGCAAGACTGCAGACTGCACACTCCTTTCTGGATCAGCTCCTCTGGGGACGGCAACAGAAGCTGAAGGCTCAATGTTCGTGGAAGGGCTCTACCGCGTATCCCACCGGAGAGAACAAGCCAGCTAATGCCCCAAGCACAAGGACAAAGAACAGTGGCATGCCAACACTCCAGACACGGCCCTACCAGTAGAGAGGATGATTACGAAGAGAGAGATCAGTGGAAAGAAGTAAATAAGCTTTGATTCCAACTATAGAAAAGCATATGTGCCGTAGACTGGCAAATGGCTCAGTGGGTCAAGGCACTTGCCACACGAGTCTGACGTCCTGCGTTAGAGCTCTGGAACCCAAGTGAAGGTGGAAGGAGAGACTCATCTCCACAGAACTGCCCTCTGGCTTCCACATGTGCAGCGGGCATATACAATCATAAACAACATGTTAAAAACATGTGCACTGTATTATTATGAACTGCTTTATAAAAACCGGGTATTTGCTGAAACAAAACCAGACATATTCAAATGGAAAACTGTGGATATTTTCCTTGTGAACTTCTCTTTAAAACTGACCTGTGGACAATCGTCAGACAACAAATATGACTGGAGAGGGGGGGTGGCGAACTCTGGCACTCTGCCTTCTTGCCCGTTAACAACCAACCCTCAGGCTACGTTCCCTGTTGCTCTCCAGTGCAGCCAGCCTCAAGCAACACCTGCTGCTGTGGAGCCGATGCTTCATTAAGGAGTGTCCTAGTGGGACGGGACTAGTTAAGAAAGGCTTTAGCAGCAGGACATGGCAGAAGTCCTAGGCTGGGAGGAAGCAAGAGACTGTGCTTGGGGCCCAGATGGACTACCCACTGTGACATGAAGCAGTTCATAATCCCCCCCAAACCCCTATCCCCAACCCAAACTTGTCCTGTACGTATCTGCATGGCCACAGAACTAAAACAGCCCCAGATCCAGTCTGCACCCCGACCTGTGCCTCTCTACTTGGGTTCAAGACTTACCCTCCAATATATGATTTCATCAATCACCGATTACGAACTGATGATGCACAGTGAAGAGGGTCAGTGCACACCGCCACTCTACTTCGTTCCGAACACTATCCCTCCTCGAGCCTTTGGGTAGAGGCAGGGAAGGAACCTTTCCACAGGAAAGCGGTCCTTTATCATACCAGACCCTCCCTTGGTGGACTCATGGCTGCCTCCTGTGTACTGCAAACAATTACCTGTGCTCCTTACCACATCTTTTTCTGGAATAATGAATTTCCAGCAGCCTTTGCCAGCTTCACAGAGAGAGGTAAAATGAAGGCGAGGTTGGAGGGGTCCTCAAAGCAGATGTTCAGAGGGTCACTAGAAGGACCAAGATGGGAGGGTTGAGGCCACTGTACTAGAGCCCCACTACCTCTCAGCCCTCCTACCCTGCAAATTCAGCTCTCAAACCTCAAAGAGGCTCCAGAAAACTCAGTTTCTCTTTACTGTCAAACATCTCATCACATGGAGCAAAGAATACGCTCCTTCCTCTCAACCCCACAGGCAGGTGCATGCCTGTAACTTTACATAGGATCACTTTTGGGGTGCAGCTGTCTACGCCCCCCCCATTGCACTCCTCCTTCCAAGTGAGCACTCCCTGAGGACAGGGTCTAGTCATGCTCACCTGAGTAACCACATCCCTATCCCTCCAAGGCATAGAGCCTAGCTGTCACATATCCTAACCTACACAGGTGATGTATAGGTGGATAACCAGGGAGGTATATGGTGGGGTCTGGGATCAAGAAGGAAATGTAGCGG